AACAGGAACATATCCTTGATATGTTCTCTGAAAAGGAGTCGAATAAGATGATGCTTTCTGAACATATGTAATTTCCATAGCCTAGGAGAAACAGGATTCCTGTAGCTTGTACACAAATTGTTATTAGGGGGGAATATTATCTGCTTCAGGGAAATCCTGTTGATTTAAGGTATAGTTTCTTCAAATAATTTTCCCCTTGATATTCTTACCAACAGCTTCACTGCCACAAAAATGAGTGCAAATCAGACCTTGTGCGTTAGATTATTGCAATATTTGTAACTGAATGTGCTCACACGTGAAAATTACAGACTCTAACAAATGTGTCCCAAAAACACAGGCAGTGAGCACATTCAGTGAGAAAACCTGAGATCACCAACCCCTTTCTTCCTCATTCTCCCATCACTTACCGGTGGTCCTGCTGGGAAAGGTGGCGGCCAGCAAGATAAAAATGACGGCGGTGTCTTGCATTTTGATCCAGGCTACATGGAAAAAAAAAATGGAGCAGTACAAATTAAAAAGGAAATTGGAGTATTAGGATTTTACTTAGGAGAACTGTGTGAAGCAATTCACATGCCTTAAATTTAAGGCAACACACCCCAGCAACTTAATGAAAATACACCCAGTAAGCTATTTCTGTGGCACATTCCATGACTGGAAAAGTACAGCTTGCATTACACGTGTCACTGAGGTAAACAGGGCTGAAACGGGGCTCTAGTTAATACAGGCATTTTTAAAAAGTTTTTCCTAAATGGAAGTCAGTCATTGCACTCTCACAGAAAGAAACATATCTAATATGCACACAGGCAAACAGATAATTTCTCTGCTCCTGTGTGGCTGGGGGCACAAGCTGACTAAATTCCATTGCACTGGCGAACATCCTAAAAAAGATCTTAGATACAAATGTATTGATATGAAGGAAAAAAGATAAAATAAAACCTTATAAAGAAATTTTGCCCAAACAGTAATATTTAGAAAACATAATGCTGAGTTCAACTACACTATTACTTAAGACTCCTACACCACAGGAGAATTTAAGGGTGTATCAATATCCCATCCCTCATAATTCAGTAGAGAAGCTACATGTTAAAGGTTCTATGACATGTGGACATCAGTTTTGACGCCTTCAAAGTCCCATGTTGTGAAGCATACCAACTGGCTAGAAAAAGTGAAATATTAAAACATCAACAGCACTATCATTAACAGCACTGGCACAGTCCAGGGAAAAAACTTCCCTCTTCTAAGTTACATGGCAACAGTGAAGCAAGTGTTACCTAGGCAGCAGAAGGCTTTCCTCACTAGACTGCAACTCTGCAAAAGGGCTATGCTGTAGCCAGATTATCACAAAATGGCAAACCAACAGATTCTAACATGCATATCTGTACATCCCTTCCAAAATGCTGTCAACTGAATTCTACAAAATGATAAATATAATGCTATACTCCCAGTATTCACTACAATACCAGGGTTAACAGCAGTATGTGAATTATTTCAGATAAGGTTGAGCTTACTCTTCCCAGGCCTGGGACTGGTGGTGGTGGTGGTGGTGTAGGAAATCGCAGGTTTTGAGGGGAGAATCTTGCTTTTGTGCAGTTGTTTTTGTTTCGAGGTGACTGGGAAGATTTTTCACTCTCATCTGTTGAATATGGAGTCTCATTTTCATTCTAGAAGATCAAGACATTTTTAGGAAATGCACTAAACAGGAGTTCATAGATAACAGTTTTAGTGTGAAAAGGCTTGGAAAGTCCCATTCACATCCTTCCCTCTCTCTAGCCCTCCCAGTCCTACTCAGGAATGATTTTATAATCTCACAACTTTATCTGCTCACCATTTTAGCTATATTATTTTTCACTGGTGAATTTCTTGTTGTCCCCTCCCTTTCTTCCATGCTGAGTTCAAGAACTAAAGCGACACTTTCATTCCTTCCATCAGCTTGTGTCTGTTTACAACAGAATCGTGTATCGATTCTCTCTGAACACCAGCAGCGCCACCGGACATACTAAGAGAAGCTGATTGTCCCGTTTTCTCTTTCCTTTACAAAAGAATCAAAAGGCGTCCCTCACCTCCCCAGAATTCCCCGTCCCATTTACTGTTTCATCGCTGGCTGGAGGAAGTAGATCAGACAGGTTCTGCTCCTCCTGATTTCCATATCCCGTGTAAGTAACAACACACGTGCCTCTCTTCTGGTTGATGGAGGCAATAGTTGCCAGGTACAAATTACCATCCTCAGACCAAACAGCACTGCAGCTGTCACCAACTTTCCACTGCAACAGAAGCAAGAAAAGCGTGTCCATACCTACGCCGACAATCAGAGAAAAGGTGCCTTTTCCTAAATTACTTTTTGTCCCAGCCACGAGAAAGGTGACACCCACCTACAGTGCGGGTTTTTTTGTGGAATTTAGTGGAATTGCTCAATGTAACGTATAAGTAAGGTTTATAAATTATCACCCCCACCCCAAAATGTTACTCCCAAGGTGAAGAAGCTGCTTCTGAGTACCGTAGAGAAGTACAACACGCAGGACAAGCACGACTGGCACGTACAGGCGAGCTGACCTGTTTCAAAGGCGCTGTGTTACTCTTCTTTCTGTTCTTTTTATGGTTTTTCCTCTTTATCACCATGCACTTCTCCTGCTTGTCGGAAGGCTCCGAGCACTCCCCATTCTTCAAGGCATTCTTCGGTAAAAGAAAGGGGGGAAACAATAAACGCCAATCCACCGGCCTCAGCCCCAGGGTGCGGCCACGGCCGCGCCGACCCCCTTACCTTGAAGGAGGCCACCGCCTTGTCGTAGGCCTTGATGAGGGCCGTGTCGTCCCAGATGTCCGAGTCGTCGCTCTGCGGAGGGCACAGAACGGAGGGTTAGCGCGGTGCCCCGGCCCCGCTCCCGCCCCCGCCCCCGCCGCGCTCCCCACCTGGCCGGTGCCGCGCCGGAACAGCACCGCGTCCGCCATGGCCGCGCGCGCCGCGCACGCGCACGCGCCCCGGTTCCGGCCCCGCGTCCCGCGCCGGGCGCGGCCCCTTCCCGTGTGCGGGGCCCGCCGGGATGCGCCGCCGCCTCCCGCGCCGGGAGGGGACGGGGACGGGGGCGGGGACACGCACCGCCGCAGGTCTGAACCGAGTAGCAGCCAGCAGAGGAATTGCTGCTGTATCCAGTGCTGGGCTCCTCAGTGCGAGAAAGACAAGGAGAGTTTGGAGAGGAAGGACCAGAAAGATGATTAGAGGTCTGGAGCATCTCTCTTAGGAGAGACTGAGAGCTGGGCTTATTTAGCCCAGAGAAGAGAAGACTGAGAGGGGATCTCATTAGTGCATGTAAGTATCTCAAAGGGAGGTGCCAAGAGGATGGTGCCAAACTCTTTTTGGTGGTGCCCAGTGACAGGATGAGGAGCAAAGGCCATAAACTAAGCCACAAGAAGTTCCATCTCAACATGAGGAAGAACTTCTTTACACTGAGGGTGGCAGAGCACTGGAACAGGCTGCCCAGGGAAGTCATGGAGTCTCCTTCTCTGCAGACATTAAAATCCCACCTGGACACATTCCTGTATAACCTGCTGTAGGTGATGCTGCCTTGGCAGGGGCGTTGGACTGGATGATCTCCAGAGGTCCCTTCCAACCCTAATAATTCTGTGAACTTGCTTATTTTCTCACCAGCTGTAGGTATTATGATGCCAGAACCAGCTACATTTTCCTTCCAGCTCTCCTCAAACTGTGTCAGGGACCTGTTAACAAGCAGCAAATGCACTATAGGATAGAACTGAAACAAGCAAAGGCCACAAAGTTCTCTCTTTAGAGGTTGAAAACAGTTGCTGAGGAGCACATTTAGCACAGGTAGCTAGTGTGCAGCTGCAGTTGAGCTACAGGTTAAGCTCTGGGTGGTGAAAGCCCCAGGCAATAGGCCAGGAACTGCACAGGTACCTGTGGGCCAGCCAGGTGACCAGACACTGAGACACAGCAGGAGTTGAGGACCTCCAAACTTTAGACTGTGCAGGTATAAAAGCCCAAGGTTTCCCTTGTTCAGTCCTTCCTTCAGAGGCACCAGTTCGAGCTGTTGTTTTGTTATTTAGTTATTGCACCAAGATTAGGTTATATTAAGGATCGGGACATCTGAGACTCTGTAGGAGTAGCTAAATAAGACAACACCAGCCACCTGGATGATAGAAGAAGAAAATATTAAAGCAAAATATTGTGGTCATGAGCAAGCCAGAGCTAAGATTAGTGAGTATGTGAAAACAATCACAAGGTCAAGCTGGAAAGCCATTTGAAGCATGGTTGTTGTTCTCTGTGGCTGAAGGCAGCCATGGGAATGTTTGTGTGGAATGTGTGCAGATAAGTAATACCTGGCTGGCTTCATAGCTCAGACCCTTATTCTGTATATAAACGGAGTAATAAAGTTACAAGGAAACTCTGCCTGGACAAAGTCTCCCGTGGATTCAGTCGCTGAAAAGGGTGCTCAGTGAGGGACCTTTGCTGCAAGACTCAGCTGTGGGAAACCTGGTCTGTGTGAGTGTGGGGTGTGTAGCTGTGAAGGGGCTTTGGTCTCAGCTCAGGTGGTGCAAGTGACTGCCAGAGTGGCTGCTGGATGGTTACACAGTTCTCCCTTGGTCAGCACACAATACACTCAAGCATGCCTGTGAAGCAAGGGCTGAGTTTTCTCATACTAACTTTTATTCCTGGGGCAGGTTTAAGTACTATTTAAAATAATTTTAGTGATGCAGCAATTTCAAGATCTGCTGACACTGCAATTCATTAATATCAAGCCTGCAGCTTCCTTAGTTAATATCAGCACTAGATTCTTTCAGTTTTGTACACCAAGAGAGTTTGCAATTCAACAGGCAACTCTGCCTATAGTGCAGACTTACACTGCATGTGATATTGCTTATAATATGCAATTCTTAAAAACTTTATTTATATTCCACTTACATATATGTACTCTATTTCTCCACTATATTATTCATTCCTTGTGTTCTTGGCAACTTCTTGGAAATCAACTGACTATCAAGCATAACCATTTCAGGTTAGACAGTATTTCATGCAACATTTTATTGAAAAAATATTTCAAGATGAGATTTACAGTTCAGACCTCTGAAAGTTATGCACATTCTGAATGAAGCTGTACTTTCAAGAACTGAGACAGCCATATTTGGTCTAACTGCAGATTCAGAAATTCTGATACTGGAACCATTAAGTCAAACTAACAAATGCAGCAAAAGCTGGAGTAAAGCTACTGCTTGGTACTTTTATTCATACACATGCAGAAGACTGTAGTCAGTTTTGAAACAGCACTCCAGAGAACTAAGCCTATAGTAATCAGAAAATACTCTACACTAATGCTAATTGAACAACTCTGCACAATAAATGTTTAATCATTTAATGGCCAGACACTTCTATGAATGATCTTTGATCTTCCAGGCCCTTCTGCTTCCCCGATGCACTCTGTCTTATCCATAGAGGCAGATCATTTCGCTCCTGCCTGCAGAGACTTCCTTTCATTAGCCGCCTTTTGCTTTTGCTGCATGATTTCAGAGTCTCTGTGAAGAAAAAGGGTTGGATATCAGATAGTGGCTCACAGTTCTTCTAAGCAGAGTCTCCTCCAGCTTATTTTTGCCCTTTGGCAATCCCCTCTTCAAGAAGAGAAAAAGGTTAGCATAAAACTTCTCACTTAGCCACGAGCACACTGTTTTTACTACCCCGTTGTTTTTTCAGTGCATGCATTATCCAATGAAGCAGACAAGTTACTTGATTAGTAGACCTTATATAATTCTTTCAGTTATAGAAGTAAAGGACACAATGGATCAAACATCTTCAAGAAAGCATTACACAACCTTTTCCTGTTTGTACCAGGCAAAAAGCTGCTCAAAAGAAAGAAAAGCTTTATGGGACTTACAAAAAAAAAAAAAACCTGTTTAACAGCAGATAGAGCAAAACTTCATCCACGGTTTATGCTCCGGCACATGATCGGACCATGAATCAAAGCAAAGTACTTAAATGTTGTTTCAGCTAAGACACTGGATTATTTCTGACCCATTTCCCCCTCCTTTTCTGCCCAACCATTTCACTCAACTTTGCTAGATCTTACCTCTGTTTTCTCTGAGAAGCAGACAAGCTATCCTCTTTCCTTTTGCCTTTGTGGATCTCCTGAGTTTTCTTCAGGTTCTTTTGGCGGGCAAGTTCACGCTGGTTCCCACCTGTAAAATAACATATAGTTAAGCAGTTACTACCACTTTGTTTTTTTCCTCACACTGTTTGCCTGTGTAGAAGTCTGTTATAAAGGTGGTATGGTGTGGCACAATCTGTAGAGTTGGTATGGCTGCATCTTCCATCAGTGTCCCCCCCCCAGTGCACAGTAGGAGAAATTAAAGCCTGTTAGTTCTCACATGTCCAATTCTAGGTCATGTCCAAGAGTTATTAATTTCAATCAATTTTAAAATTAATTTCAACATTTCTTACTGAAATAAAATGCAGTTTGCCATAAAAGACTGAAGGAAGGCCATCCCACAACAGCCTGGGCAAAATCATGTCAGTAACTCATCTAAACAAGAGTCATCATCTCAGACAAATTTCAGCATCCAATATAGCTTACAAATTAATTCTAGATGGAAAGAACAGCATTAAAATTAATTGCAAATACTACTGAAGAAGTGACCTCAAACGACTTTTTTATTTGAAGTCAAGTGCAATACTTAAGCATGGCCTTAGCAACTGATTAGCATAACTTCCAACAAAAGTGAGAAGAGTAACATTATCTATCTATCTATCTATCTGTCTATCTGTCTATAAAGACACAAAACCACATCACTGCCAGTATAGAGGACACCTTTTCAGGGAACAGAAAACTTACCCCAGGACTACCAACCCCGTGAACTGCCAACAAGTGAGGTGTGCAATCTGTTTGATCAGACAAGGCACAACATCAAAACTCTCCATCTAAATACTCAGGGTTTTCCAGGCAATGGCCACAGCCACCACAATTGCAAACTCTTTTGCATTAGCTGGCAATCTTTTCTCAGTATTCTCTTCCTTACGGCTCTAGTCTGCTCTAACCTGCCAGAACTGGTTCACTGGCTTGCTATTTCTTCTTGTTCTTCTCCTTTTGGACTCAAGGTGTTCCAGATATGCTAGGCATAATCACTTGTGCTGTTATACAATACAGATCACATTTTTCTATGCTCAAAAGTGAAAACTCCATTTACCCGTAACTTCTGTTGTGTTTCTCTGGTCTCTCTCTAGTCTTATGACTACCTATGCCATCTTTCAGTCCTGAAGCCAAAAATCTCTCCAGTCTTCACATGCCTGTAATTTCTGATATATGGAAGCAGTTTAGGACTAGGTCAATTTTAAACAGCAACCTGCTGATATGATCCACAGGTTTGTACTCACCCCATTTCTGAGCTGACAAAGGTACCTGCCATGTCAAGAAGCAGACAAGAGCAACCCTGCAGAAGCAGGGGTTTTGTGCATTCTTCACAACAGTACATGTACTGCCAGAAGTCCAAGTGAAAACAGCCTATTATGCCTGCTACTTCCTGAGAGCTGCTCCTGCCTTGGAAAATACACTTCATCTGCGACAGGACATCAAGTACTACCTTTTGAAAAAGCAAAGAGAACTTCTGCTCATCCTCCTTATTATCCTGTCCCCAAAGATCACCTAGAAGAAGGGCAGCTGTTTGTTCAGGGACTGAAGTGAAACAGCTCTCTATCTCTGGCAGCACTAGTGTTGATTAGAACTTGATGACTCATGAGCAGATGATACATTCCAAGCTATAAATGGTTCCTGGGTTTTGTGGTGCTCAGGAGGCACGAACGTCATACAAACAATTCAGCAGCAACAGAAGAGCTCTTCTGTGGTCTTTAAAAAAAAAATCAAGTATCTTCCTTTATCATAAAAAAAGAGAGGAAGTCAAAACACACTCCTATTGTCAGAACACATATAGCAATTACCCTCCACACTTAACCTCAGGCACTTCCTTCCTTTACAAGTGAACACCGTGCATGGTTCCTGCAGTTATTCCATACACACAGCGAGGGTGTAAACCTAGGAACTAAACACAGTGGCATCACTGAAAAGCCTGGCTGTCACTTCTGCGCAGTAAAGCAGAGCAGGAAGAAAAGCTGAGCAGCACAGAATGCACACAAAGCACAGAAGACCAAATAACTATCTGGAAAGAAACTTAGTTGTACCATGCCTGCTTCCAAGTCAACATTTCCAAGGACTATTTGGCCCCATTAATTCACCAGGAACCCTAAATGAGTATCCCTAGCTTCAAGGGAGCCAGTGCTGTTTCCTACATTCTGTAACATCAACCTAAATCTTCCATGAAATTGTTCCACCAGATGACAATTCAGCTTTCTGTAATGTGAAATTCAAGCATGAACTGCCCTACAAAGGCCAGTACACCCCTCCTGCTTATACTCACGCTTAAGCATCCCCATCCCAGCCTGCCTGTGCAAGACGTATGCCTTAGTTCAACAGTGTCCTTGCTCTTCCAACTCCAGGGGAAAAAAATACCAAAAAAAGCCCTAAACCTGCCACTTTCTCACGTTCAAAATCTGTTCTGTGCACAAACTGTTTTTGATCCAGGCCTTCAGCTGCACTTCCTGCAGCAGAGTGGCTTCAAAACCGTGTATTTTCAAGAGTGAATGTGAAAGCACAGCCTCAAAACTGTGTATTTTTAAGAGTGAGTGTTGCAAGCACAACCTCAGATAAATATAAGCAGTTTCTGTACTGCCAAGCCTAATACGCAGCGACTCCAGAGCGAGCATCTTGGGTTTAGTTCACGGTTCTCCGCCATTTTAGAGCGGGTCTACCAACAACATTGCTGTTGAACACGGTGAAGATTCACCAAGTCCTGCTGCCCTTTCAACGACAGCCTTAACAACCGCAACCTAAGTAGTGTAGTATTGAGTATTCAGCACCGATATAAAAGCCCTGTATTTCCATTTCTGGGCGGCAGCCGGGTGTGAAACAGACGGTGGTTGTTTTTCCAGCCCATCACCACCTTTATTCCTCCGTCCCGCCCCGCAGCACAGCTGCGCCAGGAGGCGGGGGAGGATGTTTTCGCCTCCAGTTCTAGACGGCGGCAGGGCTGGGAAGAAGCCTCAGCCCCAGCGCCCCATACCCACGCACTCGCTACAGGCAGGACTTCGCTGCGGGGACGGCAAGCCCGCAGAGACCCAGACACGGCAGCGGCATCACAGCGCGGTGAATTGCCGGCCCCCAGCCGACCCCTGGCCAGGCTGCCCCGAGGTGTCGCGCCCAGGCCTGGAGGCGACCGGGAGAGCGGCCCAAGTCCCACCGCCCCCTTCGCTCCCCGATAGAACCATAGGGCAGCCCCACTGAACCCCATCGACACTCACGGGTCATGGCGAGACGCTCAGGCCGCGCACCACCAGCACCACCACCGACACCACCACGGCCGCGCCGGGACACACCTCCGCTCCTACCGCCGGAACCGTCTGACGGGCCGCCTGCCGCCGCCGGCCCTTATGAAACCTCACTGGCCGCTGACGTCACGGCGGCGCGCGGGCTCGGCCCAATCAGAGGGCTGCGCACCGCCGCCCCAGCGCCGTGAGGGCGGGAGGGCCGCGGGGCCGCTGCGGAGCGTCCGCTCGGGCCGGGAGATGGGGGGGGAGATGAGGAGTGGCTCTGTTTAACGAACTGGTCATGGCGGGCGACGCGGAGCAGAGAAAGCAGTTTAGGGGTGCCTGGACTGAGGGGTGAAGAGCCTTTGGAGTGCTCGGCCGTTACAGGCGGTTTCGGTGCCGTTGTCAGTTGCCCCGCACGGGCTTTCCCCCTCCCGGCCCCTCTTCGATGCGCCCGCCGGCGCATGCCGATGACGTATCGAGGCGCGCCGCCGGGGCGGCACGCCGTGAGGCGCCGGGGCTCGCGGCACTGCCGGGCCGCCGCCGCCACGCGCCGCTGACGCCGCCGAGCGCGCGGGCGGACAGGCGCGCGCCTCTCCCGGGAGCGCCGCCATGTTCCGGCGGGCCCGACTCACCGTGCGGCCCAACGTGCGCGCCCCGGGCAGGGCCGCCGCCCCCGCCCCCGTTACCGGCGGGGCAGACGCGGAGCCCCCGGAGCCTCCGGGCTCGGACTCCCCGGTGGCAGACAGAGCAGGGGCCGCGGCGGGAGCGTCAGAGGCACGGCGGGCCGAGAGGTGAGTCCCGCCAAGCTCGGGCCGGTGAGGCCGTGTCTGGGCCCGCGAGTCCCCGGGACCGGCCTGCGCAGGGGGAGGCGGGGGCGGCGGTGGGGGCTCTCCGTAGCGCGGGTTGTGGTGCCCTGCCCCTGCTGTGTTTGGGGGCTCGTCCCGAAGAGTTCCTGGGAGACCCCGCGGTCGGTGCCCGGTGTCAGCGCGTACGTGGCTGTCGGAGAACGACTTCTGGGTGTTTGACGCGTTCACAGCTTAAGCAGAACCTGAGCTGCGGTTCCGCAGCAGGTGCTTGGAATGGGCTGCCCAGGGAGGTGGTGGAGTCACCGTCCCTGGAGGGGTTCAAGGAAAGACTAGACGTGGCACTTGGTGCTGTCGTCTAGTTGGCATATTGGTGTCTGGCCATAGGTTTGATTCGATGATCTCAGAGGTCTTTTCAAACCTAATTGATTCTGTAAGATAAAACTGCGAAGCAGGGACCCAGTGTGGTCTGGCACTCGGTTTTTGGCTCTGCAGCAGCCGGGAGCCCCGGTTTGCTGTGTACAGCGAAAATTCCTTGTGCTCCGTAATCGGATGACTTTGATTCTGCATTCCTGCAGCACTCACTCCTTTGTATTCACCTCTCCGTGCATTAACAAGGGAAGACTTTCTAGTATTTTTCCTTTTCGACTGTTCAGTTTTTTAAGTGCTTTTTACTGTAGCGCAAGCACGTTGTAAAGTTGGTCGTAGTGCTTCCTGTTGTAGTTTAACCCTGACTGGATGCTAAGCCTTTGCTTGCTTCATCACGCCCCTGCCCCCTCCCAGCCCCATGGGATGGGCAGAAAATCAAAAGGGCAAAAGTGCAAGAATCCTCTTGTCAAGCTAAAGATAGTGTAATATATAAAGCAAAAGATGTGCAAGTGGGCAAAGCAAGATTGGGAACTCATTTACCACTTCCTGTCATCAGGCAGGTATTTTACTGTCTCCAGGAAAGTGGGGCTCCATTACACGTAACAGTTGCTTGGGAAGAAAAACGTCGTAACTCCAGATGTCCTCCTGTGTTCCTTCTTCCCCGGCTTTTACTGAGGAACATGATGCCACATGGGATATCCCTTTGGTCATCTGGGGTCAGCTGTCCCCGTTGTGTTGCCTCCCAGCTTCTTGCCCATGCCTGGTCTGCTCGGTCATGGGGCACCATGAGAGAAGACCTTGGTGCTATCTAATCATTGCTCAGCAATAGCTGGAACGTGGGTGTGCTGTCAGCACACTCTTGTGGTCACAAATCTGAAACAACAGATCAGCTAATGTGAAAGGGTTAACTCTGTCCCTACCAAAAGCAGTACAGACCAGTTTTTCAGGACATTTCCCCAGTCTGATGTTTACTTTTCACAACAACCTTCCTACTTCTTTTAAGTTCTGTACCTTCCTACTTCTTTTAAGTTCTGCATCTTTCATGAATATCTCTATTCTTTTGGTTGAAGCTTCTCCTTTATAAGAGTGAGAAGGTCTTACAGTCTTCTGTTTCTTGTGACTAGAAATTCTGATACCAGAGTAGTTAGCATGGCATGTCTTTAGGAAACCCATGCTGCCTCTTTTTCAGCTTATGTCTTACATCTTCACTTCTTTTGCATTGTGCTTTAAGGATGTTTTTCTTTCAGGTTTTATTTATAAAATTCTCTTGTTACAAAGATTATGTTACTAGATCTTTTGCAATCTGATACTCTGTTCTTAAATGAAAACATTCTTACTATTTTTCACTTTTGTGATACTGTTGCTAATTCAGGAGATTTGTTAAAGACTTTTATATTTGTAGTTTAACCAGTGCTTCAGTGGAATATAACATTGGGTTTCAAAACTAGATACCAGTGCTATTCGGAAAGGCACTCTGATATATTCTCACGGCTTAAAAAACAGACCTTTGCCATATAACCTTATGACAAGGTAGCCCACCCACTGATAAAGGGAAGCCAGTTGATGTAATCTTTTTGGATTTCAGTAAAGCTTTTGATCCCGTCTCTCACAGTGTCCTTCTAGACAAACTGTCCAGCCCACAGCTGGATAAACACATCATGTTCTGGGTGAGCAATTGGCTCATGGGTCGAGCACAGAGGGTGACAGTGAATGGGGTGACATCAGACTGGTGACCTGTCACTGGTGGGGTTCCACAGGGCTCCATGTTGGGCCCTGTGCTCTTCAACATCTCCACAAATGACTTGGACACAGGACTGGAAGGGATACTGAGCACATTTGCAGATGACACAAAACTGGGAGGAGCTGTTGACACCCTCACAGGCAGGGAAGCCCTGTAGAGAGACCTCGACAAACTGAGGACTGGGCAATCACCAGTTCAATGAGGGGAAGTGCCAGACCTGCATCTGGGATGGGGCAACCTTGGATGTATGGACAGACTGGGGAATGAGGTGCTGAAAGCAGTGCCATGGAAAGGGACCTGGGTGTCCTGGTCAATGGCAAGTTGAGTCTGAGCCAGCAGTGCCCTGGCAGCCAGGAGGGCCAACCCTGTCCTGGGGGGGCATCAGGCAAAGCATCACCAGCTAGTCCAGGGAGGAGATTGTCCTGCTCTGCTCTGACCTGGGGCGGCCTCACCTTGAATATTGTGGCAGTTTTGGGCACCACAATGTAAGAAAGATATTAAGCCATTAGAGAGTGTCGAAAACAGGGCAGTGAAGATGGTGAAGGGCCTTGAGGAGAAGCCGTGTGAGGAGCAGCTGAGGGCCCTTGGTGTGTTCAGCCTGGAGAAGAGGAGACTGAGGGGAGAGCTCATTGCAGTTACAACTTCCTTGGGAGGGGAAGAGGAGGGGTGGGCACTGATCTCTTCTCTGTGGATCAGTGACAGGACCTGAGGGGATGGCATGAAGCTGAGTCAGGTTGGATATCAGGAAAAGGTTTTTCACCCAAAGGGTGGTTCACTGGAACGGGCTCCCAAGGGAAGTGGTCACAGTGCCAAGCCTGACAGAGTTCAAGAAGCTCTCAGGCACATGATAAGATTCTTGGGGCTGCGCAGGGCTAGGAGCTGGACTTTGGTGATCCTTGTGGGTCCCTTCTACGTCAGGATATTCTGTGATTTTAAGTAACAGGCACATAAAATATTTTTCTCAATAAATATAAAAAATACCCAAGCTTATAAATCCACAAAACCATACCCTTCTGTTAAAAAAAAAATAAAAGAAGAGCAATTGTAAGAGAATTAAAACTGTTTTAAAATTGTTCATGTTGAATGTGTTTGCCAACACTTTGGAAGGTGTGGGATGTGTTTAAGGGTGAGCTTCTTTGGAGATGTGTGGATATGGAAAATATTCTACTTAGAAGAAAAGACATGTGAACCACTGGAGAACTATGGTGGGTTCCACAACTCAACTGGACAGAGAAGGTGGTATCCAACTTGAAATGCTGGGAGACTCCCAGGGGAACTTACAGTCCTGGGAGAAAGTAGAAAAGGCATGGGTGAGAGCTGCTCCCTTCCTTCCCCTGTTTGATCGCCTTAAGTTCCACTAAAAAGCTGGTTCTTAAAGTTCTTGGTTGCTTTTGAAGGTATACAGCAACCAAACAGGAGAGAGCAAATAGGGATTTTTTGCAGAGCAGACAGTGTTAGCTTTTTGGGGAGCTCTAGATATCTTTCTAGGTGATGCATTTTAGAAATTGGTTGTCTGGGTGTCTCTGTCTCTAAGGAAGAGTGGATTTGACAGAAGTCACACAATTTGATTTCCTGGGTGAGGTATTTGATGACACATACAGCACAATGTGTGTGTTGTGTAGTGCGCAAGAAAAGTAAAGGTAAATGTGAAAATGTCTTGTATATCTGTCCTTCCAAATTACAGCATTCCTTCTCAGCTGCTCAAATCTGTGTCTGTAGCATCAGTTACTTTACCCTGTTTTGTTTTCAGGGAAGTGAAAATTTTCAAAGCATAATTCTTTTTTTTTCATACAGTTTCTGCTAAATTGTATTTAACTGTTCAGAAATCCAGCGTGGCACTCTGATTAAAAACTCCACAAAACACAGGTGGTACAGAGAGGGTGAAAAAGAATTACTTTCCACTGTCTCCTGCTGTACAAAGAACAGAGAGTGTTGAAAGGAATTTGCAAGGATCTCATTCAAAACACACAGGCAGGCACCGTGCAATAACCCCTCTAAACTCCTTGTCCAGTGATGTTCTGTGTACTAGAAATGTTTATGAACTCACAGTGTGGGACAAACTGATTCAGCCATTTAACAGAGGCTGCTAAATGCAAACCCATTATATACAGCATTTGCCTGAATCACAGGCAATAACTGGAGGGGATTTAGAAAAGTTTCTCTGTATGTGTATGCTTTTCTTATATTCCTTGAAAGGCATTTGCATCTGATCATTTTTGAAAATGGCTAAGTGAAC